TTTTCGAAATGTCAGGATTTTTATCAGGACTTTTGAAATTACTAAATGATAACCATAGTCCCGCATGAATCTGTAGTCGTTTGCACCTACCAATGCGCACTGGGCCTGCGTAACGGGTCATGGCTTGGCCAATTCTCCCTCTTCCATCTATCGAGAAGTCCGTGTCCCAATTGTGGGGACATCGATAGGAGGACGGCGGAGGATGATGAATGTCATTTGGCTGCTTTATTCTTAAAACTGCAAATCTGTTGTCCCCTCTTTTCTCAATGGATGTCGTTAATCAAAAATTATAATTAGTGACATATTTCAACGATATTAACGACATGAACAATTCAGTGAGTTTTTATTAAAGATTTACTGTACACATTGTCTGTACTGAACCGCATTTTGGGACGGCACATTAGCTACGCCAAGCGTTGACCGGCTCATTAACTCTGACTGGGCTTCTAGCAAAATGGGAAAATATGTCAAAAATAATGCAAATCAACTTAATACTCAGTAAATTAGACTTTATAAAGGTCTATAATACTCGTAAATGAATAAATGAAAATGTACAGTCTGTGACGGACAGCGGATTTAACATGTACCTATTGGATCTCCAAATGCAATTATATCCTATCCAACATTATTCATAATCAAAATCAAAATGTTTCTTGTCTAGATCTGGATACATTAAATGGTCTAAAAATTGCTTTGATTTATAAATACAAAAAGGGCTTTGTGAGTCTGTTACGCTTTCCGAAGCTCGGTCTGGTTCAGACCGAATTTTTGCACGAAGTAAAATTAACCCTATTAACTAGATATATCAGTGTTGCCAACACGGATTTTGAAAAAGGCGTAGGCCCGATGAGAAAATTACGTAGAATTAGTAAATTTTGCATATGAAAAGTACGTAGATCTACGTACTTTTTTCTGAGTGAAATGAAGAAGTTAGGTGAAACCGAATGAAACGAGTATTTCGTTATACAATTTCTGTAAAAACGGGAGATAGAACAAAGAGTTCTTGGAGTAATATGCATTGGAAGCATTAACCATGCTGTGGTGGTAGACATTTACCATCAGACACAGACACTGGTGGGTGTCGATTCTGGCGTGATTCTCTAAATTTAAAACTAAATTTAACATCAGTCTCTCGTTTTCATTCTGAATTGAGAATGACAAGGATACACTGTTGTTCAATAGGCTAGTTGACACTTTTTGGAATTATATTTTAAATTGTTAATAATTGTTCTATCAGACCTAAAAAAATGTATTTTTTTACCTAGAAAGCTAATAAACATTAATTTTAAAATAGATTTTGCATGGACATACACTTATCTATGCTATGACGTCAAAACATTTGTAAACCAACACTCGCAAGCACGTAGGAAATAAACTTTCTGAGTTAATATTATAAAACCATGATCACATGAAAAATATAGTAGTTATCATGATACACTTGGTAAAAGACTCTTGAAAAGTTGTGGTTTAAATTGCCAAGAGAAATAAACATACTTACACATGAACACATGTTTAAAACTTGCTACATCCTGTAATTTTATCGACTGAAAGTCATTTCTTTTTGCAAAGATCAATTCGATGTAAGTACTCATTGAATAATATTTAAAGTTTAAAAATTCAACATTAAAGGTTATGAATGTACCTACTAAGTTAAAGAGTTTTGTCGTTTCTCCTTTCACAAATCCTGCGTCCAGCATTAATTTAGTCAACAAAACCACTAACGGGAACCTTTTCTACAAGATACAAGAGTTTTTAGATACATCTTTATAAGAAATAAACATTTGTATAGTTTTTAAGTAAAGTAACGGAAAATATTCTTCTTTATTCTAGTGAATTAAGATATTTTACAAATTTGAAAAAAATAAAGCAAATACGTAGATTCTGGTCCTGAAGTTAGAAGGTTTGCAGAAAAGGCCTAAAATACGTAGATCTACGTAAAAAGACGTAGAGTTGGCAACACTGAGATATATTTTACATAAAACTTGAAGGGACAAACCCTCTGGTGTGGCTTATAAAGGAAATAGAAACTCGTGTACAATAAAGAATTTTCCGCTGAACTTTCAATGCGAAGAGATAGATGTCTCTGCAAAGGCTCCGTTCGAATGCTGACTGCGGAGTGCGGACCGGCCGACGGACAACATAATAAATCTTTATGGGGATTATCCTGTATTACGTACAGTGGCCGCTTTGTACGGGACACTGCTGAGTTGAGTATCTGCGCATTATTGTGTATCCGGCTAGACCTATTTGTTTTTTTTAAATTCGAAAACGGGATTGATTCTGGCATGATTCTCTAAATAAAATCACTAAACTTGATGAAAGTCGTCGTCATGCGCTATACTATAAGGAGGAATGAAGGAATGATGAGGAATGATAAAGAGAAATTTCAATTTAGTTTTAGAGAACCATGCCCCTTATATATCTGTAGCATTTAATTGCTTATTGGAAAGCTTGGTGGCGCAGTAGTTAGAGCGTTCGAGTTGCGAAAGTGGAATTATCTTTTGTTATGCCGATGTGCGGCTTAAAGTGTATTACCAAGCACGAAGGAACTCGAGATAGGTAATAAAATTTTTGGTCACCCATCTTATGACAGATGAAAGGCAAATATACATTTTTAACACTGTTATTTAATAGTTTATAACCCCTTTATACAGTATAAAAAATCAACGTCGACAAAATAGTACTTATATAGTGTCTAATAAAATATTTTAAAAATAACCACTGGCACAGGCAATTTAAACGCGTGCCATTTTTTAACGCTTGGATGTGATATCACGATTCATTAAACCTACATAACATGATCAATGACCTTAGGTATATATAGGTCATTATAAGGTTTGTTAAAATTTTGGTAAAAATTTAAATGTCACAGTGAAAAATTGCACTCGGTGTCCAAGTGGAACGCGGCTTTGACATCTGCGCACTCGCACTATAATCTCGTTGGCATTGGCATATCCTGGGAACATCACGTTTGTTTGGTGTTAGATATATTTTTAAGTAACATCTCAACCGCTTTCGTCGCGTTTCAAATAATTTGAATTTCCCACAAGTATTTTGCACTTTTATATCATTAATTTCTTGCTCGAAAAGAAAATTTATTTCAAATATTGATGAAGGGTTAACTTAAACTTAGAGAAGGGAGGGAGGAAAGAGAACTTAAAAGTAATAAAGTTTATATAAAAATAAAATGAGGCTGATTTGAGATACATGCATATTCCCTATTAGCCAATAATCGGGCTGTTTAGTGTTTTGCTTGTGTTTATATGTTATTTGCAGGAATGAGGAATTGCGCGCAGCTAAGCTAAGGCACTTTTATTTAAATAGTGTGTGGTAAAACGTTTGTAAACACCGCCTGCAGCCACTGCGTCACTCAATAAACACGTTAATATCACAGACAGGAAGTGACGAATGGTGACAGTTATGGCGGCCGGAAGTGGTCGCCGCTGCGTGCCCACTTCCGGCGCACTGTCGTACTCGCAACGGTCGATGTTGGCGCCGCTGCATTACATTACATATATATAGAGAAAAATATATTGCTTAATGGCATCGTAAATTGATTCACAACTTGTATGACTTATAAAATAACTAACGAGTGCCCGCGACTTTGTCCGCGCATTTTAATTAGTTTCCCATACAAACTTTTGTTTACCGACGAATGATTTCTTGAATTGAAACTATGCTTTATCCCAAACTATCTCTATAGGTACCAAATGTCATCTTAATCGGTTCAGCGGTTTAAGCGTGAAGAGGTAACAGGAACTAGACACACTTTCGCATTTATTAATTGGTTAATAAGTATGGATTACTTTGTGATTCTACCTGACAAAAACAGACAGAAAAATACATAATCGGATTGGATCGAACATATCATCATCATCATCAACCGATGTTCGTCCACTGCTGGACATAGGTCTCCCCTAATGCACGCATATATATATATATATATATATATATATTGTAACATATATATGGGTCTTTTATTTTAGTTTAGTAAAAATGGGAGGGGGGGGGGGTTAATCCAGGATATGTCTCGCCTGTGATTATTAGCGTCCGGCAAACACTATAATACTAACTATGCTAAAATAGGAAGTAGCATATTTGTTTTGCCTTGTCATCGCCAGGTGTCGCTTGCCTAATTTTCCAAGTAAAAGGAAGGGCTCATGTGTATAGACCTCATTTAGCGTCGCTTGACGGCACTCGCTGTCGCTCGCCAACATTTGTCTCACGTCGTCCATAATAACTTATAGCGCAGCAACGTATTTGCAACTCAACAATCTCTCGTCTCTCACTCGTCTCTATAAGCCTCTTGCATTGATCTTCTTCAAACTTGCCCAATTTCTAGACGGAGCACGTGTCTTGTATCAGTAAGCTCGCATTAAGTTAAGCTAGGCCAACATGTATTGGCTAAAGATAGAAGTCATTTCCGCAGACGTACTCTTTGATTCGAGCAGATAATTCGATTTGCTCTCTTCTTAACATTGAAAATGTTTTATCGTTCGCTTCAGTAGCCCCCATTTTCGTTAAAAAGTGCGACTCATCCGTGACACCCCGAGGTTTAGAGCCACAAGGCTGTGTGAGGGCTCAAAAGACGTGGAAATTGAAGGGCTTTAAGAAGTTTAGAAAAATTATTTTGAAAAGTCAAAAGCTTACGACTTTTATCGACCGAAAAATTGTTTACACAGAAAATTTCCGATATCCTGAGAACGGGGCCGAATTTCAAAAATATGTTAAAATGCACCTCGGTATTGAACCAAGGAACATTTTAGGTCATTACACTTTTTCGAAAATTTTGACGGTTGAGGCTGTAGAAGTGCCCTTAGCCGCGAGTTTTGCGCGGCGCGAGGTGCGATATCACGCGGCGGGCGGCTCACGTGCTGCAACGAGGACGAATGAGAGCTCGAAAGACGCGGAATTCGAAGGGCTTTAAGATAACGTAAAAATATTTCGGAAAAACTGGTATAGCAAAAAGAAATTTTAATTAAAAAAACAGTAAATTTTCTCGTCATTTTAAAAGAAAGAAAATCTCAGCAAACGAAACAGGTGTATACCCTCTTCGGATATGCGCCAGTGACTGGCGCGATGCGTCTACACGTGTTGCAACACTGGCCAGTGGGCTGCATCTGGCGACGTTCGCGGACGTATCCGCCGACGGACGTGTAGTGGAGGCATAACCGTGAAACTGCAAAGTAATTTGTCAATTGAGCGTGATAAAAACGCGTCATATATCATATCGCGGTGCTTATGCTAGGGTGTCTATGTCTGCGTTGCTCGAGCGCACTTTGTACTATCTGTTTTGTCCATTTTGTGCAATAACGTTTCGTTCAATAGTCGTGCATATGAACTTGCTTATGAAATATGGCGCAAAGGTGTAAGTGCACTTATTATTATTCAGTCTTACCCACCTAACTTTTACTTTTTGCATTAATAGTAATCCTACATGCATTCTTGAGCAAACACATTATTATCTATTTACGCGAATCGTGTCACTGGATGAGCTACTTCATAATTTTGTCACGCGCTACTAATTAATCTTATCATGATTGGCATGCGGTCAATGTAATTTTTATGTCGAGAGAAAGAAAGAAAGAAAGAAAAACGTTTATTGGCCTAAAACATTTACAGAACAACATACATTGAATAAATAAAGAGAAAATCAATAATAAATTGAAAAAGATATAATAAAAAATAAAAAGGAAAGGCCAATGTGGGTCACTGCCTCAGCCTAAGCTGCTACGACTCTTGGCATAAGGCCGCAGCAGCGCTGATATTCTGGCGGAGCCCCCTCTTAATTTTTAAAAATAAAAATAAAACAGACGAGGCCGCGCTCAGCACCCACACACAAAATGCAATTCTCCACCCCGAGCTCAAGTCCTAACACAATGATGAACGAGAACCATGCCAACCACCACCAGCCGCACACGTGGCGCGCGCAAGGAACGCAGCCCAGGGCCGCGCTCCATACCCGCAACCAAGGCGCACCAAAAGCCAAACCCGACACAGCCCCCTCACACCCACGCCTGAACCAAAACGCCCCAGAGCGATAATCTACACCTGGAGGATAGGTACGGAGCGCGGCCCTGATCAACAAACACGTGTCTAACACGAAGATATGGTGCACGTTATCTTTAAAAAAAAAGACTAGAATAGTTACTACGTTACAGACTAGAACTAATTACTGAATTACAATATAAGACTATTTTTTTATAAAAAGTAATAATTCTTGTTTATAAATTTACAAATTATCGCTTAAATCTCAGCCATTTTATTATTCTTGCGAAAATGACTATATTCTTCAAATCATTGCAATATAGTAAAAACAAATTTTATTCTCTATACTAGCTCATTGATTCCTTAATTATGTCATGTCTACAAAAATATATTCGTATATTCTCTAGCTGTTTATCAGCCAGGAAACGATAACGTTATTAACACGAAGATAACGTGCAGGCGTAGGAGGTATAGTAGGAAACTTAAAATTAATGAACATAAACTAGCCTGCTAAAATTATCACAATTATGAAAGAAATATGTTATATGAACGAACATGAACAATAAATGTATATAATATAATCAATTTTATGAGTGTACAAAACTAAATTGAAATTACACAGTAAAAAAAAACAAATAACTTTATGATAAAAATACTGCATTAAAGTATAATATAACCTATTTGTATAATAAATTAACAATTGTATGAATACATTATCCGGATCATAATAGAAAAATGGTAAGTTGTAATCTTAACTCAGTTACTGTACTGTACTTTATGCATAGCTAACTGATGCTGTTTATTATATTTTTGAAGGGCAAACTTTGTTTTCTGGTTCCTAAATGGTGGTGGAATATCGTTCCAGCATTTAGTATCAGCAAATCGAAATGAACCACGAAAGGCTGCTGATCGATGTTTTGGAGTATTGAAAATATGAGTGACAGATCTCTTTGGATATTTGAACTTAGCCAGAGTCTTATCAAGTTTAGCAACGAGGTATTCCTTGCTATTATGTTGCTATTCTTAATTCTATTACCAATGCTTGACATCAGTATCTTTACCTACTATCAAAATACACGTGTATTTTGATAGTCAACAAATAGATTAAGTGCGTAATCCACGTGGATTACGCACTGAATCTAATCTATTTATTGATTACGATATAGTTTGCATTACTGAGACGTGGCAATTATATGGTATTTTTGACTACGAATTATAAACTGATGAATATTATCAGAGGCGTCTCCAGCCCATGTCGCGCCCGTGTGCAAACATCTTGCTCTTCATCCATCCTCCATGGGAGTCCATTTTGGTGTGAGCCACTGCGGATACTGCGGGTGCGCATCCCATTCACGAACGGGATGGTCCTTCGGGTCGAAAATCCCCCTCTTCGCTTCTACAAACGTCGCCCTCGGCGCGGTCAAGCCCGCCGGGTGAGACCCATCAGTGACCTGTGAGCGGGCGACGGACTTAGCGGACGGGGGTAGTGTGTTGGATGGGGGTAGAAGCGATTCTTCGGTTCTCGAACTGCCCGATTTTTTTGATAAAATCCGCAAACAGTTCGGAGAATTGGAGTAACTTGTGCAGTGCGTCATCGTAGGTTGGGGGGGGGGGGGGGGGGGTCTTGCGTCATTTCCGTGGTTGTGATGGGTGTTGTGGCTGCGGGGATCGCGTCAGTCGGTGATTCTTGACTTGCTCGGCGACTCCGTTTTCGGCGGCGTTTGGGACGGCCGGAGGGTGAGGGAGGAGCGTTCTGTTACACCCCTGAAATGTTCACAGCTTACAGTCATAACTGATGCTGCCGCATCAGCATTTCAGGCCAGCATCGCTATTGCGACATCGGCCAGCGACAGTGCCATCCAAGCCACTGTTCGTGACAGTTGTGTGCCAATTAATCTAATTTAATCTCGTTTAATTTTTTAAAATCACCCCGCACCGCTGAATCCTGACGCCCGCTCCGTCTACGCCGCATCTGCGTTCCCGCACTGCATCTGGTCGCTGAGACCTTTCACCGTACCTTGACATCGTGCCTCAACACGACACCTATTCTACTTACTATAAATCACCAACATCCTGAAAGAAAATCATCACACACCCAGTGTATCAACATAATCAAGATTAATTGTGTGAGCCGTGAGTGAACATTCAAACAATTGCGTATTCGCCTGTGACTGTGACTCCGTGTCGCCCTTATCGCTCAGGAATGCGATCAACGCTTCCCATCGCCGTCATCGTGCTCGCCGTTCATGCAACATTGTTGCCGTGAGTCTGGTCTTTGTTCTTTCTTACCTACTACTAAGTTTTAATCTCTGTGTTTGAACTGTACTAGGTATTCTATAGTGTATTAATTCGTGTGCTATTTTTAGATTTAAGCTTTTTGTATTCTACATTCTTATATTATATTTAATTAAAGGACAATGGACCCTAAAATGTTAGAAGTGGTAGATATCGATTTATCCCTAGATACCGAGGATGAAAGGGTGGTCAGTCCGGGTCCCAGTGAAAAACGAACACGTTCGAAAACACAAAAAATGGCTATGTCAACCCCTGCACCAGGCCTAGATCTGAATATCTCATGAAAATTCATTAAGCCATACGATGGCAGTAGGGACACACTGAATTCCTTTATAATTAATTGCGACAACGCCTATGAACTAGCGAGTAATGTTCAAAAACCAATTTTATTTAAATACATATTATGCCAACTTCAGGGAAAAGCTGAAGTGGCTTGTTCTATTAAAGATTATAGTAATTGGGAACAATTAAAAGACTTCATTCCCACCTACTAACTGAACTTCAGGACAGTAGGCCACTATCCGGCGAAAATGTTAGTCAATACGCCCTCCGCGTTGAAACTTATTTGTCATAACTATTGACAGAAATAACGTTAAATAATACAAAATTAAAAGAACTCCCAGGCCGTATTGCGGCCATGGAAGAACTCGCTCTACAACATTTCCTTATGGGTTTGCACCCACGAATTTCGAACATAGTCAGGTGTCGATCCCCTAGAACGCTGAACGAAGCAATTAATTTCGCTATCTCCGAAGAACGAATCCAGCAAACTTATTACAAAAGGACCGCTCTCACTGATAATAAACCAGTGAACAAAAGCTCACGTACCCCTGGTCCAAGTCAATTTCGATCTCAACCCCCAGTATCAAACCCAATAAGACACAATCCTACCGTAACCTGCAGATACTGCAAATTCCCGGGGCATACCATTGAAAACTGCAGGAAACGGGAATATAACAAAAAGCTTCACGAAGCTTATTGTTATATTCCCGCCAACAACAATCTTCTACTTCAAGGTCTAATTTACACCCCATTCGAACAGTATGATGAAGGTCAGGACGAAGTAGATGAATCTCAAATCAAACAGGATTTAAACTAGATAGCGCCTCGTCCCGGTGTCGCACGAGACGCCAACTAGTTCAAGGAAAAGACACCTATAGTTCCGTGGCTCGGAGAATCGCTGTCTCCCACATCACTGTATCCAATCCTACTATATCCGCTGTATCTAATCCCGTAGCCCGGAGAACCGCTGAATCCAATATCAAACCTACTATACCCGCTGTATCCAAACCTATAACAGGAAACATCACTGTATCCAACCCTTCTATATCCACTGTATCCAAACCTATAACAGGAAGAATCACTGTATCCAACCCTACTATATCCACTGTATCCAACCCTACTATATCCACTGTATCCAAACCTGTAACAGGAAAAATCACCGAATCCACTGTAACTTACCCTGCTATATCCACTGTATCTAAACCTATAATAGGAAAAAGCACTGAATCCCATACCAAATCTACTATATCCACTCTATCCAAACCCATAGCCAAACCAACCTCTCACACTTCCGTTTCCAGTTTGCCTCTATCACTTTTAGTAGACACAGGCTCCTCGATTAGTCTCCTAAATAAAACTCCGCAATAAAATCAAATTGAACGAGGAAGTCTTAAAATTAAAAGGTTTCAACTCTAGCAATGACACGATTCCAACCCTAGGTTCCTTCGACCTGAAGCTATATTCTAATGACAAATCCAATTCCTATTTAAAATATAAATTCCATGTTGTAAGTGATGTTGAACAACCCTATGATGCTATAGTGGGAAACGACCTCCTCACCCAATTCCAAGGCAGTATTAATTTTACACACGAATCTCTGAACCTCGGTAACTCCAACCTTAAAATATTCTTCACTAATCCTTATTTCGTAATTCCAACACGTACCGAAAAGGTAATAGAGTGCTCAGTCACAAACCCTGAACTTGGAGAAAGGTATTTCTTGACCAAAACCCCTCCAAGGAACTTTTAATCGCCAATTGTCTCGTTCGTGTGAAAGAAAACAATAAAGTAAACTTAACAGTC